GAGAGAGAGAGAGAGAGAGAGAGAGAGAGAGAGAGAGAGAGAAACAGAGACAGAGACAGAGACAGAGAAGAGGGGGAGGAAGAGAAAGTGAGAAATGAACTGATACAAAGACAAATAAACAATGAAAAGATAAGGAACGCGATGTAGCATTATCTAGAGCTAACTGTTTCGTTTCCAATTACAGGTTTTTTCTCTCATTTAGTCAAACGCAACCTTATCAGCTGACTCAGAACCTAATTTACTAGTCCACTTTGACGTGTTTAACAATGACACTTTGTAAGGTATACAATGTAATACGGGGTTCCCACTACGGACGTGATCGGCCGATCGGGCCGATCGACCGACTCGATCACCTCAAAAACAAACGTGTTTGTTTTCAGTTTCAGGCGATCGAGTCGGGCGATCGGCCCGATCCAGCCGTAGTAAGCACCCCGTATAAGTGTGAGGTCACGGTGGAATATGGCGCTCATCAATTTTGGGGCATACATAGTTATTGGTACTTATCGTACTGTCTGTTTATTAGTTTCGCTTTGGATTAAAAAAAAAAACCCGTTGATCTTTATTAGAGGTGAAGATATATGTGATTAAAGGAGATTGGGGTCACCTGGTGCCAGGGGTAAAATTAGCGAGAAAATGGCCTTCAGAGTTTAGTGACTCCTATAGCTTGAGCGTCCAAAGAAACTTGAAACTAACAACGTTTTACAGTAAAATCATCGCGAGAATGTGTTTTTAAATGGACATAAATGTGCTCAGGGAGAAAAGAGCAATAAAAATTGCCCAAATGGGGGGGGGGGGGGAGTCATTTTCTACAATTTCCAACATTTGACGAGCGCCAAATTTTTCCACAATGCCCCACCTGTATGTATGATTTTCCGATGAGCTGATAACCTGGCCAAGCCCAGTCACATGTTGTTACAAGAATTTACTATGTTGTCAGGCGTAGACAGCTGAATACTTTTTAAGTTTGCCAATCTTCCACGAATAATCACCGGAATCAACCTCGTAATTTCATGTATTTTATTGGATATCATAGAAAAACAAAAAGCCTTACTTTTGCTGCAATCACTATAAGTGTACTACGTATTTTATGTGATGTCATATCTAAAAAAAAACAACAACCCCAAAACAACCTACTACTTTCGCTTAAGTTGACAAACAAACATCATGTGTTTTATTTTCTGTCATATTTGAAAGTAAAACATTATTTTTGCTGCAGTTACTGAGCATACTTCAGGGTTGCTTTTTCCTGTCTATGCAATATTCAAAAATAAAACAACGTTACTTTTGCTACAGTTATCAAGCGTATTGACCTTGAACCCCGACAGTTGCGAAGGTGAAAACATTCACGATACCTGTAGATTCCAGACTGACCACGTGACACAAACTGAACGACCAACAAACAAACACCAAACACACAGCATGGCCACGAAACATCTCCACCACCGCCACCAACAAGGACAAAATGTAGCAGCATTCCCTCCACGCCATGCCGGGGCAGATGGAAACATTGAGCTTTCTGACTGTTCGGTACTATCACTAGTTGTCCTACAACTCTATCACCAAATGTCGTACAACTCTATCACTAGATGTCGTACAATTATATCAGTAGTTGTCGTAAACTCTATCATTAGTTGTCGTAAACTATATCACTAGGTGTCGTTCAATTATTATATCGCTAATTGTCGAACAACTCTATGACTAGTTGTTGTACAACTCTATCATTATCTGTCGCACAATTTTATCACCAATTGTCGTAAACTCTATTACTAAATGTCATACAACTCTATCACTAGTTGTCGTAAACTATATCACTAGTTGTCCTAAACTATATCTCTACATGTCGTACAATTATATCACTAGTTGTCGTAAACTATATCTCTAGATGTCGTACAATTATATCACTAGTTGTCGTAAATTCTATCACTAGATGTCGTACAATTCTACTACTAATTGTTGTACAACTCTATCACTAATTGTTGTACAACTCTATCACTATCTGTCAAACACCACTAAGTGAATTGATATCATAATGCAAAGCATGGCCGGACCACTTTTTACAGTGTCATGAGATGGTATCCAGACGCCAGTTAGAAGATCATGTACTCTTACCACGACCTATAACATTAATAAATTCTGTGATTTTTCTTCTTCTTGAGGACTGATTCTGCTCATGCAGAAAGCTGTTTATGGGACCATGGTCTAGTTTCCTTGCAACAAAAATTAAGTAATGCACTTTTCATGGAAAATCGTTAACTCGGGAGTGATAGATTCTGACGTCAGTTATCATGTGCATGACATAAAGCTACTTTCTCTCTTCTTTTATGTGCATGACATAAAGTTAATTTCTCTCTTCTTTTACATTTCATTTAAATTTCGAGCTGGGATCTTTTGGAGTTAATTTCGCTTAACGGTGTCGTGCCTAAATGTGAATGAATGAGATGCATTATGCATGAAGAGATGAGACGAAAAAACAAACCACCGAGATGATACGTTGCTGGTGCATGCCCCTTAATGTCTGCGGCACGACGTGACGGAGACGGGCAGGAAGCATAATGCGGTAAGTCCAGCCATGACCAAAGCCCGGGCGCCATTCTGCCACTACACACCACACACGGTGGGAGCCAGCAAGCCAAAGACCAAAACCCACACACGGAAACCAAAGATGGCCACCGAATAGGAACAATGATTCAGCATGCACTGCTCCGGCGATTACAAGGTACAGATTATGGTCATTATCCCTATCATCTATCCTTTCCTTCCCCTTGACATTACCAGTGCACTGTGAAACAAGAAACTTTTGTTGTTAGATTACGGGAGAATTAGGAGGGTCTTTTTACTTTCAAACTCTCACTGTTGTTTCTGTCTGCCTAGCTTACTTTTTCCAACATCAGAATGGTTGTTAAAGAATAGATGTGCTACTACTCAAATCTAAACTCAAGATTATGTTCAACAGACTTACAATAACGACGGCAGGCCTTGAGAGTCTTCCCCAGTCTTGTTACAGAGCTTTACTGACCAACTTTCCTGCCTTAAGTTGTCTTTTTACAAAATCTTTATCGTCTTTCCTTCTGTTGCGTCCCCTGAACGTCATAGATACTGGCTGACAACTTCATTTACTCTACGTAGTCTTTTATTAATGTTTTTCTCTTTCATTACTGGCTACAAAGGCCAAATATTATCTTTCTTCGTCAGCTTTCTTTGTGTCGTCTTCTAGTAGTAAAAATATAATCAAAATCATCAGCTTTAGCAAGTGAATAGCTTTCAGCGACCCTTTTAGTGTCTTAACATAGGACCTAGCAGGTATAATGTTTCATGTACCCTCATATTACTCCTGATTTTGGTCTCGGCTCTGTGAACTTTCAAAATCTGATGCTGAGAAAATTCACAGGAATTGTTTCGTTTCTGTCCCCATGTTATATAAAAAAGAAAATCCTGTAAATATTTCAATAGGTCAGGAAATAGTCATCTCAATTCGAATGATTGGGTTTATCTTTCGTTTCCTCCTCCTACAACTTCTAGGTCAACGTGCACCTATGTGTGTTTTAATGGATTTTCCAAGACAATTCTAAACTATGTGTTTAATTTTCTTTAAAAGGTAACAACCACTCAAATGTGTGGTGTAACATTTCTGGAAAGATCATAAAGCTTTACACAATCATTTCTTTAAAGGTAACAAAAGGTAACACTTTCTTACCAAAATAAAATAAAATATAAAGTTTAAAAAAACCGAAAGATTTATTCATACACTTTTCTATACACCATTACTGTAACCGGCAGTGCTATTTACATCATTAGACTTCAACTCTTTGTCTTTGTACGGTTTTTAAAAGTCAGTCCAAGCTGTTATAAAAATTGATACTGGCTTCTCAATGACAATGTGTTGTTACTGCTATAATGGTAACTATTATTTTCTGTTTTTACTCAAAACGTAAACACATCAGCCTCATTATTCAATGCTATGTTTTTAAATGCTATTATTTCTTTAAAAATTTCTAATTAATTTTTTGTTTTGCGATGGCGCTATGGTGAAAGGGATTTTTGCGTTATCTCCCAAAGAACAGCGCAGTTTCAAGCTTAAAAAAAAAACCTTCACCGTCTCTATGTTTGTTCCCGAAAGTGTTGTTAGTTAATACTGTGGAGGAAAAGACAGCGTGGAATTCAGTTGGGTGGGGGGATAAAGAGGAGGGGGGCGGAAGAGCAGGTAGCAAAATAAAAGGGGAAATCGGGCGGGGAGGGGTTAGGGGGCGCAATTGCGGCGGTAAAAGCTGGGGTATTAGGGGAGGGGGGGGGGTTCGGCGGAAGTAGCGGGAGCGCACCATCATGACGTGAGCCTGACGTCACATGACACCGGCCTCCAGTGCTCGCTCCTTACCTTGGCAGCAGTCGATGAGTAGGGCTCGTCAAACAACGCCCAGATTTTTGGCTGTATCCGTTGCCAGCAGTTGAGTTCCCCGGATTTGTACTCCTCCTCCAGGCCGAACTTCTTCATGATGTCCTCCTCCGTGGGCTTGTCTGTGTCCAGATCCAGCCGGTCAAGGATTGCCAACACGTCCTGGGTGTCCCGGTGCTGGGTGTAGGTCATCCAGCAGCATGGCTCCACCTGGTTGGAGTCCAGCCCCCAGAACTCCAGCTCTTCCTCGAACAGCGGGCCGCAGACGTCCGTCGGGTAGTGCAGCTTTCCCGAGCGGTAGTAGTTGAGGATCTGCGCGAACACGCCCGGGTGGCGGTCGAAAAAGTATTCGTTGAGGACGGGGTCATAGTTGGCCAGGGCCTCCGTCAGACGAGAGAGGCGCGTGGCGGGGATTTTCTTGAGCGTGGCCTTGTAGGTCTCGTGACGTATGCCGCCCACGTTGATGATGACGCGGTTGTCCGCGTCCGCCAGGTTCAGATTCATCGTGAAAGCTGTTTGTCTGTTAGTTTGTCTGTCTGTTTGTTTGTCTGTCCGCTAGTGTGTTGGTCTGTCTGTACGTGTGTTGTTGGTGTGTTTACAAAAGAGGAGTTACTGTGGGAGGGAGGGGAACGTTACGCCGACACGTAACAGTCAAATAAACGTATGTTATGACGTCATACACACATATTTCGCGGGAATCCGCAGAAAACAGTCCCCGATACAGAAAGTAATCCTTCACACCAGTAGAAAATCCTTGAGAGAGTATATCCGTAATGAATGCTGGAGTGACACCTTCAAACAAAAGCCATCTAAAACAATGGCTAAACACTGTAAACATAGGTAGTAAAAAACAAACAAAAAATAACTACAAGAAAGAAATACCCACTAACACAGCAATATTGAGGTACTGTAAACAATAAACTGGTTGTGCAGTGGTAACAGAAACAAGCTTTCACGTGTAAATATCACAAAAGGAAATCTCTGGAATATCTTATCTCTTTTTTAACCCTCACGGTGAGCAAATATGATAACACGTCCAACTTTCTTTCTCCTATGGCCTGAAAACACTAGCAAGTTGTCAGCACCGAGAAGTGAAGATCATCACACCAGCCATTTCTTCCTGTGCGGCTTGAAAAATAAAACAAACAAAAAAACCCGAACTTTTTGGAAAACGTCTATTCTCGATGCTTCCACGCTCACACTCCGAACAGGTTGTGCTAACACGCAGCAATTTTCTGACGGTAATCCAGATCCGAATGGCAGAAGTCCGCAGTGATTTATGGAACGAAGTCCTCGAAGAATACCTTGTCTTCAGAAACAGTTGCAGGAGGGAAGTGTGCGCAATATCCAAACTGTCAGTGCGGGGAATATTTAGTGGGCGTTTGGCAGGTGCTCTGTGCCATTTTTGGGGGGTTGTTGCTGGAGCAATAAGTCTGTTGTTGTTTGGGGTTAGAGTCAGAGTTGAATGGTCAGATGAACCAAGGTTGAGCCTATCTCTTTGTCTGTGTGTAGGTCTGCGGATAGAGGAATTTCGACACGAGTTATTGGGAATGATTGATGTTAAACCATCTTGGCAGCCCTTTCAACAAAATACATGTACACTAACACACATACAGATATACATATACACGCTCATACACATACGCTCACGGGAGCATACAATATTCCCACACCCCAAAAACACATATACAAGCATAATACACTCTCACACAAACCCTCCCCCCCCCCCAACTCACCTACTCCCTGCCCCGACAGATCACACTTACAATTACTCACCATCATTTTTCAAAAAGTCACTGGTAAGTCCCCATCCCCCCAAGACAACGCCCACAATTCAATGTTATGGTTCAACCCTCACCAGTAAGCCCCGCCTCTCCCCTCATAGGTCACACCTACCACTCACCGCTATGGTTCAACCCTCATTTGTAAACTCCGCCCATCTCCTCAGAGACCTCGCCCATCACTCACCGCTATGGTTCAACCCTCGCCAGTAAGCCCCGCCCTCCCCTCAGAGACCTCGCCCATCACTCACCACTATGATGGTTCAACCCTCACCAGTAAGCTCCGCCCATCCCCTCAGAGACCTCACCCACCACTCACCACTATGGTTTAACCCTCACCAGTAAGCCCCGCCTCTCCCCTCATAGGTCACACCTACCACTCACCGCTATGGTTCAACCCTCATTTGTAAACTCCGCCCATCTCCTCAGAGACCTCGCCCATCACTCACCGCTATGGTTCAACCCTCGCCAGTAAGCCCCGCCCTCCCCTCAGAGACCTCGCCCATCACTCACCACTATGATGGTTCAACCCTCACCAGTAAGCTCCGCCCATCCCCTCAGAGACCTCACCCACCACTCACCACTATGGTTTAACCCTCACCAGTAAGCCCCGCCTCTCCCCTCATAGGTCACACCTACCACTCACCGCTATGGTTCAACCCTCATTGGTAAGTCCTCCACTCAACAACATGTCTTTTCTTGATGGGTCCTGTGGCGCTTTTCAGAATGTCTTCCCGCCGGTCGTGGCGAATTTTGATTGGTTGAAACAGAGCCATCCTGACGTCATAGCTGGGTGTGTGTGGCTATAAACGTGGGTCGCTGCAGTGTCTATTTCCGGCCTTGGGCATTTCACTTGTGAAAACCTGTTGATTAAAAAAAACAACGACATAATAATATTATAAATTACTCATCATATTCATCACAATATTATATTTTTTTCTGGATACACATTATAACAATCTTTCTTTAGGACCAGCAATCAGAGCAGCATCAGCAGAAACTTGAAAGTGATTTCCCACCAAAACAGTGTAACAATCTAAAGTCATATAATTCATTAATATTTGGCACAAAAAAGGTAGGACACGAGACCCTAAAAATTAAACACCCACTCCCACCCCCATAAAAAGCGTAATAAAATTTGTTATTCAATTAACTTGCTCTAGATAGGGAGAGTTTTAAACCCTTTTTAAATCATCATCACTAGAATCATTCACTAATTTATTCATCATCATCATATCATCATCATCACCATCATCATCAACATCATCATCATCATCATCGTCGTCATCATCATGATCATCCTAATCATAGAGTAGGTAGGAGAGTCTTGATTGACTTGCAGACAAAAGGTATTTTTTTTAAAGTCAAAATTTCAACGTTTCGCTACGTAGGCTTCTTCATCATCATCATCATCATATAGTAGGTAGGGAGAGTCTTGGTTGACTTGCAGATAAAAGGTATAAACAAAAAATATGTCAAATTTCAACGTTTCGCTATGTAGACTTCATCATAATCATCATCATCATCATCACCATGATGGCCATCATCATCATCATCATCATCATTCATCCATCCATCCATCTATCCATCCATCCATTCACCAGTACACTATTTTCCCCCTTCTCCATCAACAAAACCTAACCGGCAACACTTTGCGTAAATGGCACTTCATCAACGGGCCAGAGACTCCGCCACAAAACCCCGCCACCAATCGTCCGTAATTTGGTCGGTTTGTCCAAACACTACCGGGACCAGCGACACATGTTTGCCGCGGCACTCTCCCCACACGCCGGGCCCCGCGCCGAGTCAACACGGTGCCCAGATTGGGCGGCGCGACTTGCCAAAACGGGCCAAATATTGGGGGGAGAGGGTTCCCTGAGGACTGTATGTGTACCGATAGTCCACGTAAGTGGATTTGAGATAGTG